TGTTGAAAACTGAATTGTTCTGTTATCAATTTTGTTCTAGGCTCTGTACAACATTTATACAAATGGAATTTGACTTTTGTCAATTCCATGAAATCTGTAATCTCCTAAAAATTAGGAGCTAATTTATTCTATTCTAAAATATATTAGGAGTAAATTATTCTATCCTAAAATAGAGCAGAAATCATGGGATATACATAGAATTTATAGCTGTACAGAAGATATTCTAGATTTTCAACATTCCCCCTCAAGATGGCGAATAGATATTTTCCATTCCCATCTTGCATGTAATGTCTTCAAAGTTGGAAGTTGGCATTCCTTTAGTTAAGACATCTGCCAATTGATTATTTGATGCTACATATGGAGTGCAAATCATGTCACTGGCCAGCTTTTCTTTAATAAAATGTCTATCTACTTCAATGTGCTTTGTACGATCATGTTGCACTGGATTGTGTGCAATGTTGATGGCAGACTTGTTGTCGCAATAGAGTTTCATAGGTCCTTCCCACTTGATTTTAAGGTCATTAAGTATTATTTTGAGCCATAGCAATTCACAAACTCCATGAGCCATAGCTCCAAACTCTGCTTCAGCACTTGATCTTGCAACAATCGATTGCTTCTTACTCCTCCATGTCACTAGGTTCCCACCAAGAAATGTACAATATCCTGAAGTTGATCTACGATCTACAACAAAGCCTGCATAATCAGCATCAATATATGCCTCTATGAGCAATAAGTATATCAGTTTCCCAACCAACCGCTGATATCTTCCCTTATCTACTGTGCTATCATGCTTCTCTTCATTCAATCTCAAGTTAGGCTCAATGGGTGTGCTTGCTGCCTTGCATGCAAGATTGCCTGTTTCTTTAAGCAAGTCTAAGATATACTTTTGTTGGGAAACAAAGATGCCTTTACTCGAGTATGCCACCTCAATGCCTAAAAAATACTTCAGCCTCCCTAGTTCTTTAATTTCAAACTCCTTTGCTAAGCACTTTTTGAGTGTTTCTCTTTCAATTGGATCATTTCCGATGATGATGATATCATCTACATATACAAGTAGAGCTGTAACACCTTCTTTTGAATGTTTTATGAACGAGGTATGATCTCCTTGACTTTGTCTGTATTGCATTGCTAGCATCACTTTAATAAATCTTCCGAACCAAGCCCTTGGCGATTGTTTTAATCCATATAAAGCTTTCCTTAACCTGCACACTCTCTTTTCAAAAAACATTTCATTGAAACCCGGTGGAGGTTCCATGTACACCTCTTCTAAATCCCCATGTAAGAATGCATTCTTAACATCAAATTGCTATAAACACCAACCAAAGTTAGCTGCTAAAGACAAAAGAACACGCACAGTATTCAATTTTGCAACGGGTGCAAAGGTCTCTTGGTAATCTATCCCATATGTCTGTGTATATCCTTTTGCGACCAACCGAGCTTTATGCCTTTCTAATGGACCAACCGAGCTTTATGCCTTTCTAATGAACCATCAGCTCTATATTTCAAAGTAAACAGCCATTTACACCCCACTGTTTTCTTTTTTTTAGGCAGGTTTACAATTTTCCAAGTCTTATTTCTCTCTAGGGCATTCATCTCCTCTTTCATAGCTTGTAACCAGTTCTTATTTCTAAGTGCCTCTTGTAGTGTTTGTGAGATTGAAATGGAGTTGATGGTGGTAAGAAAAGTTTTATGTTGTGGAGAGAGTCTATGCAAAGACACAAAATTTGAGATTGGATGCTTAGTGCATTCTCATGTTCCTTTTCGAATAGCAATAGGCAGGTCTAAATCATTAAATTCACAAGGAGCAGAGTCAGATTGAACACACAAAGGAACAGAATTTTTAGTACCTGATTGTGGTTCAGATTCTTGGATTTGCACAGGTTCAGAAATGAAAGAGAAGAAGCAAGAGAGGAAGATATTTTGGGATAACATTTCTTCACCCCTCTTGTGAGTAGTACAACTGACATATATATACAAGATTGAAATAATCTAGATCCTAAAATCAAGCTATCAAGATCCTAAAATTAAGCTAGAATAATTAGCTATCTACTTCCTATAATTAAACTAGGATAATCAGGCTAATAATCAGGCTATCTAATCCCTATAATTGATGTATAATATATCACACATATCTAGATATATTCAACACTCCCCCTCAAGCTGGAGCAAACAAATCATATGCACCAAGCTTGCCACATATATATTCTATACGAGGACCTCTTAGGGACTTGGTAAGAAAATCTGCAAGTTGATCACTTGAATTAACGAAACCCGTCTCAATAACTTTGGAGATCAATTTTTCTCTAACAAAATGGCAATCAACTTCAATGTGCTTAGTCCTCTCATGAAAGACTGGATTGGAGGCAATGTGGAGTGCAGCTTGATTATCACAAATCAACTTCATTGGGTCACTTGTCCTCAAATTCAACTCATTGAGCAATTGTTTAAGCCATATTAGCTCACATGTAGCCATAGCCATGGCTCGATACTCAGCCTCAGCACTGGATCTAGCAACCACATCTTGTTTTTTACTTTTCCAAGATATTAAGTTGCCACCAACCAGAATACAATAGCCTGTGGTAGAACGACGATCAATAGGTGATCCTGCCCAATCTGCATCAGTGTAACCAATTACTTGCATGTTTCCTTTATCAGTATACAACAATCCTTGGCCAGGTGCTCCTTTTATATATTTGAGAATGCGGAGAGCTGCATTCCAATGAGTATCACACGGGGAATCTAAAAACTGCCTGATCACTGAGACAGAAAAAGATATGTCAGGACGTGTTACTGTAAGATAGTTCAACCGTCCCACAAGCCTACGATACTTTCCAGGATCCTTAAGTGGCTCCCCCTGTCCTGGAAATAATTTAATATTGGGATCCATTGGAGTTTCGACAGGCTTAGCATTTGACATGCCTGCTTCCTCCAAAATGTCCAATGCATATTTTCGTTGGCAAATAACAACACCTTCTTTGGATTGGGCAACTTCGATACCCAAGAAATAACGAAGCTTGCCCAAATCTTTCGTCTGGAAATGGCCAAAAAGGTGGTTCTTTAACTGAGCAATTCCCTCATGATCCTGTCCAGTGATAATAATATCATCGACATAAACGACAAGATAAATGCTACCTTTTGATGGAGAATGACGATAAAACACTGAATGATCAGCCTCACTACGGATCATGCCATATTTTTGGACAACATCACGAAAGCGTCCAAATCAGGCCCGAGGAGATTGTTTGAGACCATAGAGTGCATGTTTTAGTCGACAAACCATTCCACTAGACTTCTCCTGAATAACAAAACCAGGTGGTTGATCCATATAAACTTCCTCCTGCAATGCACCATGAAGGAATGCATTCTTGATGTCTAACTGGTGCAAAGGCCAATGATGAACAGCAGAAAGAGATAAGATGAGACGAACAGAAGACATCTTGGCTACTGGAGAAAAGGTATCAGTATAATCCAGACCAAAAATTTGAGTATAACCCTTAGCTACTAGACGAGCTTTAAGACGATCAATTTGACCATCCGGACCAACTTTAACAGTATAAATCCAACGACAACCAACAGTTGATTTACCAGGTGGGAGTGGGACCAGCTCCCAAGTGGAATTGGAGTGAAGAGCAGCCATTTCATCTATCATTGCCTGGCGCCACCCAGAGTGGGACATAGCCTCACCTATAGTTTTAGGAACAGACATGGACGACAAAGAGGACAAAAAGGCATAATAGGATGAAGACGCGCTGATAATTGAGACAAGTATAGCTGGGACATTGATTGCGAGTAGAACGAATACCTTTGCGGACAGCAATGGGTGGGCTGGCTGGAGAGGAGATCGTGGTAGGTGACGAACTTGGAATAGTTCGTGAGGCATCAGGGACATCAGCAGATTCTCCAACACCATTATCTGGAACTGTAGTAGGATAATTCCTTACATTGCGTCTCTGGTAAGTGAGCAATGGTGGTGATGCGAGTGAAGGTAAGGACTCTTTAGGAGGCTGACTAATGTCAGTGTCATGAGTAAGAGGAACAAAATGAGTAGAAACAGGAATATCCTCCGTGATTGTAGAATGCTCAGATTTGTTAAGCTGAAAGAAAGGAGTAGACTCAAAGAACGTAACATCTGCAGAGATGATGTATCGTCTAAGATCAGGAGAAAAACATTTGTATCCTTTTTGTGTTCGAGAGTACCCCAAAAATACACATTTGACAGCACGTGAAGACAGCTTATCTTTTCCAGGAGTGAAATCATGTACAAAACATGTACAGCCAAATGTACAAGGGGAAATAGAAAATAGTGGAGCATTAGGATATACAAAAGAGCAAGGAACTTGATCCTTAAGGACAGATGATGGCATGCGATTAATCAAATAACATGCAGTGAGAATGGCATCCCCCCAAAAGCGTAACGGAACATTTGCATGAAGAAGTAAAGTACGTGCCGTTTCAACCAAATGTCTATTTTTCCTTTCAGCAATCCCGTTTTGTTGTGAGGTGTGAGAACATGATGATTGATGAATGATCCCTTTAGACTCCATAAAGGACTTGAAAGAGGTAGAGAAATACTCATGTGCATTATCACTACGTAAGATTTTTATGGAAACACCAAATTGTGTTTGAATTTCAGAGACAAAACTTTGAAAAATAGAAAACACTTCAGATCTATTCTTCATAAGAAACACCCAAGTACAACGAGAATAATTATCAATGAAAGTGACAAAATACTGAAAACCTAAAGTAGAAATAACACGACTCGGTCCCCAAATATCAGTATGGACCAAAGAAAATAGAGATTCAGCTCTACTATTAGCCCTTTTCGGAAAATGACTACGAGTGTGTTTTCCAAGCTGACATGATGCACACTCTAAGGAAGACATAGTAATAGATGGCACCATCTTTCGAAACTTATTTAAACTTGGATGACCCAAACGACTATGGATTAGCAGAGGATCATCTACGGCAGAACAAGATACTGGTGTTGGTAAAGACAGATAGTAAAGTCCCTGAGACTCACGCCCTGTGCCAATCGTCCGCCCCGTACCTCGATCCTGTAAAATTACAGATTCCTCATCAAATGTAACTAAGCAGTTAAGAGAACAACACAAACGACAAACAGATACTAAACTAAAAGGACAATTGGGTATAAAAAGAACAGAATCGAGAGGCACAGAAGGTAGAGGGTTAGCCTTGCCAATCCCTTTAGCTTGGGTTTGTGAGCCATCAGCAAGAGTAATATTGGGTAGAGAAGTAGAACTATAGAGTGAAGAGAAAAGTTGTGGATTACCAGAAATATGATCTGTGGCAGCAGAATCTAAAACCCATGGGCCAAGAGATGGAGATTGAGAGACACATGCGCTAACATTACTAGTGTGTACAACTGAGGCAGTAGGTGTGGAAGACTGTTTGGCTGTAAACCATTTCACAAAATCTTCATACTCGGGCTTGAAAGTTGGTTCTGAACTTGCGCAAGGTTCGGATTGAACAATATTCGCCACTTGTTGGGGAGGACGTCCATGCAAGAGCCAACACCGATCTTCTGTGTGGCCAACCTTTTTACAATAGTCACAGTAGGGTCGATTTTTGTTACCATTATAACCACCTCGACCACGGCCACGTCCACGACCTCCTCTTTGGTTGGATTGAGATGCCAAAGCTGATGAATCAACAACGATAGTCTCCGAAGATGATTTTGATTCATCCGGGAGCCGTAACAGCCATGAAAAAGCTTGAGACAAAGTAGGAATTGTGGGGCTAGCAAGAATCTGATCACGAATGGTGGAATATTTTGCAGGTAATCCAAAGAGAGCCAAAAGCATAAAAAATGTACCTTGCTGAGAGAGTTGTTCCTGCTGAGTTGCAGCAGGGGGTAGCAACTCATTGAAATCGGAAAGGACCCCTTGAATTCTGCCTAAGTAAGAACTCATAGGCATATCAAGTTTTCGAGGTGCAATGAGACTCATCAAATCAGAACAAACGGCATAAACATGAGATATATCATTAGTGTATAATGCTTTGGCCTGCTCCCAAACACTAAAGCAAGTCTTATGTGGACGAAAAAATTTGCTTTAGTGAAGAATCAATGGTCTGCCAAAGCATGCTACACAATTGAGCATCGATTCGCTCCCACTTGGATGGATCAGTCATAGTATCATCAGGTTTAGTAGCAAGATGATCTCTATATCCTTGTCCCATAAACCATAGCTCAACGTCAGCAGCCCAAGTAGAGTAGTTACTGCCTTTTAGTTTTTCGGTAGTAATAATAGTAGAACCAGTAATAGATGGATTGGCCATGAGAGGAGTTGTGGATTTAGATGTAGATGTTATAGATGTATCGGATGTAGACATAATGATATTGGGTTAAAGAAAATCACCTGGTAAAATCACCGGGTGGGATGATTAGAAAACGAATTTCTTTTTCTCACTTGCTCTGATACCATGAAAGAGAAGAAGCAAGAGAGGAAGATATTTTGGGATAACATTTCTTCACCCCTCTTGTGAGTAGTACAACTGACATATATATACAAGATTGAAATAATCTAGATCCTAAAATCAAGCTATCAAGATCCTAAAATTAAGCTAGAATAATTAGCTATCTACTTCCTATAATTAAACTAGGATAATCAGGCTAATAATCAGGCTATCTAATCCCTATAATTGATGTATAATATATCACACATATCTAGATATATTCAACAAGAAATATGAACTTTCTTCCTTGAGTAGACCTTGAGTGGTGTAGTTGGATTTAAACCAGTTTTTCTCTCAGCTCCAAGATCAGGTTCAATTTCTTTATTGGCATGTTCAACTTCAAATTCAGGTTTAGGTTCACTGCTAGCATGTTCTCCTTTGGAATTTGGTGTATGGTCAGGTTTGAAAGACTTCAAGTTTAGTGTAGGACTTTGAAAATCAAGGAGAAATTCCTTTTCTTCCCAAGAACTCCCCCCCTGGAGATGAGGATTGTTACTTTGAGAGTAAGGTTCATTTTCAACAAATGTGACATCTATGGAGGTAAAAAAATTTTTTGAAGGTAGATGATAACACTTGTATCCTTTCTTTGTATTTGAGTATCCCACAAAAATACATTTTAAAGCTCTTGGATCAAGTTTTCCTCTTTGGTGTGCATGAATATGTACAAAAGCAACACAACCAAACACTTTTGGTGACAATGTGCAAGAGACATTAAAATCAGGGTAAAAAACAGAAAGAGCAGCAATGGGACTCTGATTATTTAGCACTTTGAAAGGTACTCTATTCATCAAATGTGCAGCCGTTAAAACAGCCTCCCCCCAAAAGGTTTTTGGAACTTTATGTTGAAACAAAACTGCTCGAGTCACATTGAGTAAATATCTATTTTTCTGTTCAGCAATCCCATTTTGTTGGGTTGTGTCTACACAAGATGACTCATGTATTATACCCTCTTTTTGGAAAAAAGATGAGAGAATTTGATTAAAATAGTCTCTTGCATTGTCAGATCTTACTTTTTTAATCAAACTTCCGAATTGTGTACAAATCATTTTATGAAACATTGGAAAAATACTGCTTACTTCTGATTTTTCTTTCATAAGAAATAACCACGTAGTTCTAGTACAATCATCAATGAATGTGACAAACCATTTTGCTCCAGAAATACTAGAAACTCTACAAGGCCCCCAAATATCAGTATGTATCAAAGAGAAAGGTCTAGTAGATCTTGTATTACTCAATGGAAATGATAGTCTATGATGTTTAGCAATTTCACACGTATCACAATGAAAACTACTAACATCTTCATTCTTAAAAAATGAAGGAAACATGCTTTTAAGTAAAATAAAAGATGGATGACCAAGACGGAAATGATGATGCCAAATTTCAGATTTATTATTTGAGGAGCAGGTGAGGGATAACTGATTATTGTTCTTCTTGTTGCCACTCATTTCCTCAAGGTAATAAAGCCCGTCATTCACCTTAGCAAGTCTAATCGTCCTCCCTGTAACCAAATCCTGAAAAATACAATGAGTTGAATAGAAAGTTACTTTACAGTTGAGATCTTTGGTAATTTGATGGATGGATATGAGATTAGAGGACAATTTTGGGACATGCAACACATTATTTAGGGACAAAGAATTTGATAGATTTACTGTCCCTTGGCCTACAACAGATATAGGAGATCCATCTGCAACAGTAATTTTTTTATTTTCAGGACATGGGTTGTATGTTCTAAATATGATTGGGCTGTGAGTCATATGGTCAGTAGCTCCTGAGTCGATAACCCAAGAGCCTAAAGAAGACATGCTTGAGGTACTTAAAGCATAAAAGTTAAGGTACTTACCTGATTGAGCCAATGAACACATACTGGAGGACTTTTCAAGGGAATTTAGGAGGTTTCTTAGCTTTTCGATTTCTTCTTTCTTGAATTCTCCCATACCAGCCTGGTTGGATATTTCTTGGGTTTGGTCTTCTCCATCAATTAAGTGGGCTTTTCCTCCTTTGAATCCTCCTTTACGACTAAGGACTTGTTCCTTCCCATGGCGTTTGAAGCAATCATCTCGCGCATGGCGTGGTTTTTTGCAGTATGTGCACCAAATTATGTCTGTATTTGACTCTGTACGGCCATTACCTATCTTTGCTTCCTGATTTTTTGACTTTGTAGAAATCATTGCCGAGCCTTCTAATGTTTTAGACTCCAACATGACTTCTCGCCTATTCTCTTCAGCTCGGATCACTGATAGTGTCTCATTCAGAGATGATAATCTTTCCTTCTCCAATATCTAGACTCTGACCTGATCAAATTCCACATTCAGACCTGCAAAGAAGTCATAAACTCTATCCTTTTCGATAAAGTTTTTCAAGGTGGCTGCATCTTCACTACACAACATCTGAACACACCGATATTGGACCAGTTCCTGCCATAGATTTTGCAGAAGATTGGCATATTGAGTAACAGAAAGGTTGCCTTGTTTAGTGGCTGAGATCTTTGTTTTGATCTCATAGATTAGGGCAGCATCTCCTGCCTTTGAATAGGTCTGTCGAATAGTAGTCCATATATCTTTAGCTGTTGGTAGGAACATGCAAGTATCGCTTATTTCAGGTAACATGGAGTTCCACAGCCATGACATGACCATAGAATCCTCTTCGTCCCAAGCAACGAATTTAGGATCTCCCTTTTTCGGTCTAGTTCCAAGCAAGTGGCTGATTTTGCCCTTTCCTTTGAGAAATGTTTGAACAAATTGTGACCACTTCAAATAGTTTTTTCCGTTGAGCCTGTAGGCTGTCGGGATACTCTGCAAATCCCCTGTTTGTGGAATATTTGAGGTCTCTTCTAATTTGGTATTGGAGTTGATTTTTGATGTTTCAGTTTCAGACATGTTGGAGGTTTCAAAGAAAATTTGGCAATGAAGGCCTAATGAAAAAATCAGCAATGAAGGCTTGAAATTGCACTTGGCAATAAAGACTTGAAAAGAAGAAAGCACTCAGCAATGAAGGCTGACAAGAAGAGATCCCAAGAGCAAAAGCTCTAACACCATGAATAAAAAGAAAACTGAATTGTTCTGTTATCAATTTTTGTTCTAGGCTTTGTACAACATTTATACGAATGGAATTTGACTTTTGTCAATTCCATGAAATCTGTAATCTCCTAAAAATTAGGAGCTAATTTATTCGATTCTAAAATATATTAGGAGTAAATTATTCTATCCTAAAATAGAGCAGAAATCATGGGATATACATAGAATTTATAACTGTACAGAAAAGATATTCTAGATTTTCAACATATGTTCTTTGAGAAAAAAATTTTACTCGAAACGAAAACATGGAGGGGAAGTTTTTAATTATTAAACAGTACAATGTTCCACTGATTTCCTGATTAGGCTGGCTGTGCTGAAATTGAGGGATTATAATACAGGACTATTGAGGAAGCAAACATGTCGAGACTGGAGTAGTTGAAACCATCTAAATAAAATCTAAAAGAAACTGTAAACATGTTACTAGAATTCTGACTGCTTTGGCTTTTATGAAGTAATAACGTCACATGTATTGAAAAAGAAAAAGATCCTAACTCAGTTGCGCTTCCATTTTTAATATGAAGACCATATTCCATCCTTGTCTATTTCCTTCTGAGAAATGCTTACAAAGTTCTTAGTCTCTGCAGGCTTTCCTTTTAGCTAGTCAATCTCGAGATGCTTCAAATTATAGATTAACTTGATTCAACATTAATTGGATTGGTTGTTTTTTATCTGAAACCTGGTTGCTTTTTGAAATTCATTACTTTCATCCTCTATTTCCTTTTGACGTGTTATCTACTTATCAGACCAAAGTTTTAGTCATATCAAACCTTTCGTGTTTTGCTCATTTGCTGTTGTCTCATCATGTTGCAGGCATATAACCATGTGTGGGAAGAGGGAGATGACAGGTAATTGTTTTCTCTGCATGCTGTAGATTTGCTCTTCAACATGGGAAATTACCTTTGCCTTCTCAGTCATTGGATTTGTTGTATGATGAGAACATTTGGTGATTGTTAATTAGCTGATGTCCACTTACTCAGGGAGATTTGAATGGTTAGTAACAGAACTTTTGTACCTCAGGGCAACTACAAAGTGTCTGTGCCCTTTAGAAATTCTACTGTTTGAGATTTTTTGGGAATTAGTTCCCAGACAAATTGAATTTTTATATATAGCGTAAGGACGAATTACTTAAGCCATCAGACCTCACATCAAAGCATTTTAAGTGACTAAAAATAAGAAATCCTCCCAACAGCAACAGATTCTAAGTACATCTTACAGCCTCACTGCTGCTGGGCCGGCCTTGTCTTCCAGATCCACACCCCAAAATTTGGACAATGGGCTATGACTTAGTCAAATGCTTTACCAAGTTGCTGCTGTGCAAATCTGTGCTTTGCAATCTCTCTCTCTCTCTCTCTCTCTTTCATCCGCTTATTTTTTCAGTGGCAAGTAGAATCCAATGCTTCACCAGAATTCTTACTTCTTGTTCTCTTATACACGTCTTATGAAGTTACAAGCTTTTGTTCTTAGATTCGATGCTTTTGCATTTGCCTGTTCTCAGGAATAGGATGGTGATTATGATTATTGCAGTGGTAATTGTCTTCAAGTATCTTTTCTTCAATTAATTGCTAAGAAAAGGGTTGAACTGTGTAAATACTCACTCAGATAGAAGCTACCTGTAGTTGTTCAGATACATACAGTCCAAATACAAATCATTTGGATATGGAGATGGGTCTTCTTATTTCAGATTTGTCAGATAATATGACTCTGTTTGATTGTTATTGAATATGGATCTGGATCTGCCTCTCTATCTGATATTTATCCGATTGTTTGGAGCCTTATATTATTCAATGATTAGCTTTGATATAGTTCAAAACTCTTGGAAGTATGTTTGGCAACAGTGCATGCCTGTGCCTTTTATCATTTGGGTTATCTTAGCATCTTGATTTGCAGGTAGTTGCTCTTTTCCCTCTGGCAATCAAAATGCTAGTTTAATATCACCTAATAGGGGTTGATTGACCTCAATATATGGGTTTTCAATCAAATTTGAACAATTTGAAATGTTTTAATTTGACTTATGGTAAAATGGAGGTCTATATTAGTATTGTTGATTTCAAAGTTGATACCAACACTACCAACATTGCAATCTACTTCTCCATGTGCTGGCCAACTGAGGTCGAGCTGGATAGGAGGGAGAATTATTTGACAGATGTCGAGAAGAGGAGTAACAAGTGGTGGCGAAAGTAGAAGAAAAGAAGATGGAGCCAAGGTGAAGAAAAGAAGAAGAAAGGGAGAGGTAGATGCAACCGTCTGGTGAAGAAGCTGTGGGGTGTTGTCTGTTTTAGTCTTACAGTTGAGGTTACTGACCTTGACCATGAAGTCCAGATCTCTGATCCTGACTTTAAAAATTGAGAGCACTAGCCTTCAGTTTCAATTGATCTATTCCTGCTGCATGAATCACAGACCAGCTTGTGGACATCAGTGTCACTTCCAATTGGTGTCTGTTTTAGTCTTACAGTTGAGGTTACTGACCTTGACCATGAAGTCCAGATCTCTGATCCTGACTTTAAAAATTGAGAGCACTAACCTTCACTTTCACAGACCAAGATCGTGGACATCAATGTCGACTTTGAAGTTGAGATTACTAATACCAAATTACCATATTTCAGGGATTTATTTTAGTGCATTGATATCTGTTTAACGTTGGTATTCAGGTCAATCACTAGTCTTCTACTGGAGTTATTCTGCTAATATAAAAGAGAGCCACATATCAAAAAAGCTTAGTCCGATGATGGCCTCTAGTGTTGCTCTATTCACTTAGTAGTTGTGACAATCTTGATTAACAATTGTTATTAGCAGTTGACCATCATTAGGTGCTCTAGTCTGGTTGAATGAATAGTTGACACATGGGACTATTTATTATTGTTATTTGAGAAAGATGGATCTGCGGCAGTAATTGATGAATTGATTTCGGCTTATTAGTTAGAATTTTTAAGCATAAAATCTGAAAGATATGTGAATATAAATCTTGGAACCTGTTATTTTTCCTGTATTCATTTGTAACTTTGATTTAGTTACTTTGGGTGTCAATCATTCGTTAAGGGCAGTAACTTTTCTTTCATACTGCAGTTTTCACCAGTTTTTCCAGCCCTACTTTAAAAAAGCTTCCTTGTGTTACTCTGCATGGATTGCAATCACTTTTTGAAGTTAATTAGCATGGTGGAGGGATATGCTTTTACTTGGACTGTGGCGTTAAATTTTTTTTCTGCAATGTCAAAGAATATAAGAATATGAAACATTTTCATGCGGTG